TGCTCTTTTCTACTCAATTTCCATTATTCTTAAATAAATTAACTCTTTTAGAGCAAAAACAATTGTCTTTCATCTTTTTAACAATTTGAATTTTTAAATGAAAATGAATATTAATTAACCATTTTAATTATCATACCTCCTCCACAAAACTACTTTTTTGTCATAAAAACTACATGCAAGAATATCATTTCCAAGGGCGTCAGCTCCATATACCATACTATCGTGTGGCTCGTATTTCTGAAATGTTTTTTCAAATAGCCTATTTGAAGTTTGACAAAATTCAACAACACCTCCACAAGCACCAGCAACAATAATTCTATTTCCTTGGTCGCTCATTCTCCATCCTGCTCCACCATCAACATGACCCTCCCATAAAGGTTTTTTCCAATTTCTGATATCAAATTCTTTTACAGAACCGTCATAACTTCCAGCTAAAAAATTTGTTTGATTTCGCCAAATTAAGTCAGTGACTCCTGCATCAAATCGAATTTTAAATATCATCTCATCATCTGTCCATGCTTTACAATACGTGTCATCACTTCCTGAAAGTAAAGTTTTTCCATCAATATTCATTGCAACAGTCCACACTTCTGCGTCATGACACTTTACTTCTTTAACTGGTTTCCATCTGCCATTTCTAAATAATCTCCAATATGATATATAGCCATCATTTCTTGATGCGACTAATGTCTCACCACCAACAGACGTTGACAATACTTCACATTCTTCTGGTATTATTGCACAATTTACTTCTTTTAATTCGTCATTTGGAGTAAAAAATAATACTTTTGCATTTGCAGTACATGCAGTAATAAATTTTGTATCTTCAACAATCACTGTTCCTAAATTATGAATTGCAGGGGTTCTGTTGTTGGTTAATAACTCTAATTGATTTGTTTCTCGATTTACTTTATAAGAACAAATCGAACCAGTTTTTCTTTCATTATACAAATGATAATAACTAATTATAACATGGTCCTCTTTATAAGTGTAAACCCCATCAGGTTCTGTTTCAGTGTTGAGCACAACAGTAGGTGAATACTTATCCATTACTTAACTGGACAGTTCAAGTAGTAAAAAAAAGAGGAAGAAAGAAACAAAAGAAAAAAAAATAGGGTTTAAAAAAAAAAGTGAAAAGTAAAAGAGTTTACTTTTTCTCATGGACGTTTCTCAACAACATTTGACTCTTGTTATTCAGTTTCTTGAACAAACAGTTTCTTTACAAAACCAAACACAAAACACACAGTTAATGAATGTCTATAATGAAATAATTCAATACGATGATTATATTCCATGTTTATTACAAATAATTGCAACACCTCAATATAAACCTCTACAACAAATTGCATGTATTTTTTTAAGACAGTCAATTTCACATACTAATATGGATGTATCAACAATTACTGGAAGTATTTTACCCTTATTAGTTGAACGTTCAGTTCGCCCAACAGCGGCGAATTTATTGTGTAGTTGTTATAATAAAGCTAATGTACAATACAAATACCAATTACTTCAAAAACTTATTTCTGTATTAAATGAGTGTAATGATATTCCATCTATTCAAGGATCTTTAGCTACATTGTATATGATTTTAGAAGATGATATTGGTATTAGTACAAGAAAAGAATTAGAACAAATACTTCCTTTAGTTTATCAGGCCATTATGAATAAATTAAATCATCCAAATGATGAAATCCGTGAAAGTGCTATGGAAGCAGTAGCTGTTTCTGTTTTTAATTTATATGATTCAGATACATTTATTCCAACAGTGATTCAAAGATATAATGATTCCTCAGCTAAAGTAAGACTTATTTTATGTCAAATTATTACTTCAATTACAAGTACTTTTCCTGATGTACTAAAGAAATTTATTAGCCAAGTTATTCATGTTCTTGTTGCATTAACAAATGACCCAAATGAAAGTGTGAGAATTCATGCATGTGGAGTATGGGGAGAATTATGTAGTGTTTATTGTAATGAAATTAAACAAGTTCTTCCTTCATTACTACAACTGTTACTTCCACATACTGTATTAACAGATAGAGAAATAGGTGATATTGGAAATGAAGCTGATGATTGTTTAGATGGTGATGGAGCAATGACAGAGAGAAAGCAAATTGGAGTTTCGTTAGATCAGATGTCTATCTGTTATGGAAATGAATTAATTGGATTATTACTACCATTTTTATCTGAGCAATTAAAATCGACAGAATGGAAATATAAGGAAGCAGCAATTTTTGTATTTGGATGTATTATTTGTAAAGGATGGAACCCAAATAATCAACAATTTAATCAACAAGTTAAAATAGTATTTACACAAATATTAGATAAAATGGATAATAGTCCATTAATTCAATATGTTATTATGTGGGTTATTCAACGAGTTGGAGCAAATATTGGATTTATATTAACTTTAGATGAAATAAATAAAGTTTATGAAGGAGTTATTCATTTAATAAGAGAAGGAGTACCAAGAGTAAAATATCAATCATTATCAGTACTAAGTGTATTTCTTGATTTAGAATTACCACTTATTCAACAACAACATGCAACAATATTAAATTTAATGTTAGAACATATTGAACCACCAGTATTTGTAGGAGGAAGAGTTATTGATTTAATATCACAACTAGTAGATATTGCACCAGAACTTTTTGAATTAAACTCAGCATTGTTAAAAAGAATAATTGCTCAATACATTCAATATGCTAGTGCATTTCCTAATTCACCACAATTAATGGAAAGTGTCGTTTATAATCTTTCATATATTTTACCCCGATTTGGAGATGTTGGTATTCCAATTACTGCTTCAATGAAAGATTTTGCAATTAATTTACTTAATGCAAGTGAAGGAGATCTTGAAATGCAATCAAGTTGTTTACTTTTATTATCTTCATGTTTAGCAGTAAATCCAACATTATCTGAAAAAATATTACAAATGGTAGCATCATCATTGCCAAAATATCTTCATTACTTAAAAGATTGTATGGCAATAGCTTCATATGGATTACTTGGGGATTTAATAACATATTCTACAAATGAAATTAAACCAATAATGGGAAATGTAATGAATAGTTTATTATTTATTTTAGAAAATGGACATCCATCTATTTTATCAAATGTGTTATGGTCTTTAGGTATTATTATACAAAGATATACAAGTGATATGCAAAGCTATTTTAATTCTATTTATCAACGTTTATTATATCTTCTTCAGAATAATTTATCTGATTTTAAATTAAATACAAAAAGAAATATGTTGATTTGTTTTGCTAGAATTGGCGAAGAAGTTCCTGATTTAGTTGCACCAATAATTGGAAATATTTGTTCTCAATTACTTAGTAGTGTAAATGGGCTAACTGATAATGAAGCATTATGTACAGTTATATTAGGAATAGGAAGATTAATTTGTTATAATCCTAAAGTTTGTGAATCTAGTTTAAATATAATTCTTCAAATCTTTCAGTATTCATTTGTTAAATATGAAGCATTGTATGAAATGTGTGATGCTGTTATTAGAACTTTAAAACAAACATTTAATACCTCTCAATATTCTACTCTATGGCAAAATTATTCACATTGAATTAATTCTTTTGATTGAAAATTTTTTTTTAATTTAATTAAATTCTTAAAGAAATTATTACAAAACTCTTAAAAAAAAAGAATTTTCTTATGAGAAGAACAAATCAAAAAGCAACTCGTGGAAATCTTTTACTAAAGATGGCTAATGAAGTTTGTTGAATAAAGAACTAATTAGATATTACCTATTCTAATATTTATTTTAATAGTTACAATTAAAAAACGAGAAATTAACAACCCATTCAATTGAAATTATCCCTTGTAAGTCAATAAAAAAAGAACAACTCCAAATGTGTTTTGAACTTGTCAAAGAAAATATGTTTTCTTTGGATTCAGTTTCTTCGTTAGGATGGAACGATCATGACAAAATGGAAGAAATGAAACAAGGAAATGGGTTTTATATTCTTTTTAAAGAAGGATTTGTTTGTATTAGGTTTGAGTTATTTGGGAATGGAATTCAGTGTTATTTGTGGGAAATTCAAATAAAGAAAGAATACAGAAGACAAGGAATTGGAAAGGAAATGATGAATGTTATTGAAATAATATCAAAGAAGGCTCATTGTAGTGAAATTAGTTTATTAGTTTTAAAAAGTAATATTGATGGTAAAGCATTTTATGATAAATTACATTTTGAAGTAAAACAACAAGACTCAAAAGGTCAAGACTACTGGATTATGAGAAAGAAATTAAATTAAGCTAAATAAACAATCATTGAGCTATCATTTTCATTTCTTTTTAAATACTCT